TTTTTAAAATTTAATACTCAGAAATTTAAATCAATAAAAAATCATATGATTAATCAATATCATATGATATAAAATTTAAGGTTATCGAGGCTTTTCTAACTATCTGGCAGTATATCTAAAAGAAGCACTTATGTTTAGAAAAGCGTAAGCAGACCAACTCCTGCATATGACAGCAGTTTGAAACAAGGATTAGGAAGGTATGGAGGTGCCAACCTTTTCTTTGCGAGGCCATGTATATGTCTGGTAATCACAAATATGAGAGTAATTTATCTTTTTTTCCTCTCTTCCTTTTTCCCCTTTCCCAAACTCCCTTTCTTGCCGACAAACAGTTTTCCCTTCCCCTTAAAGGTTTTTTTTCTAGGTCTCTCTCTCATTATCACCAATACCATTTCATCAACCCCATGGCACAGCAATGACACTATCTTAACTGAATATATTTACCTGGTTTTAACTGAAAAGAGCTCTATCAAGAAGTGTGGGCTTCTTGCCATAAAACTCCAATCCTTAATTCCAGAGTATTTAACTGAGAAAAGGCCATGTAACAATACTTCGACTGAAGGTTGGAAGTGTATCCTGTAATCAGCTAGATAACCCTTCTATAGTCACCATCTAACATACTGAAGCTTACTGAGTGAGGATGAGGCACGTTAAAGGAGGACATCAGTAAACAGAAAAGGTTCTATGTATAAAGCTTTGCATTGGCTAAGTCCTGGTCCTGCCTAAGATATAGAATCAGAAGTATACATTTGGACAAGCACTTTTATATGGATTTTGACTTTGCCACTATCTTACACATTCAAAGAAATTTATCATGAAGTTATTTTCTTGTCTCAATCTCCAACTTCTATTTACACCAAAAACCATGACCAGCTTATCTCCTCCAAAAAATCGGCATAAGATAATCATGCCATATTGGGAACAAGGTCCTTAATATGGATAGACCTACAGGCCGTACTACAATAACAAGCTGGTTCCCAGGTCCAGCAATTATAAAAACCGATTCTTCTAATCATGCCACTTCCCATTCACAGTCAATCACATAGTGAGTGCATATATTGATTATAAAATAACTAGTAGCTAGCTTTTACTGGATAATCAAATTAACTAATTATTTTTCTATTAATAATATACTTCATTAAAATTATTTAACATATTTATAAAAACTATTATAAAAAAAAATTCCAAGCAAAGTATTAATTGTTATATCTTTAAAGTTTAATATTATTAGCAAGAGATTTTTCAAATAGGCTTGGAACAAATCATGAAAAAGGATTGACTTGTGATCTGATTAAAAACCACTATAAAGATGCAATAGATGAAGTTTGTTATTTGGATTTACAACTTCGGCATAAAAAGACATCATATCTTAGATGGCACCTATATAATAGACTTCGAGATTTGCAAAAAATTCACAATACTGGATCAAGGCTGGTTATGGGTACATGAAGCAAAAATAAATTTTGAATTTTCTTCTGAAACCTATGAACACCATGCTAAAATTGTAATAGATGATATGAGTATTCAATTAATTGATGAAAATTCTAACAAAGTCTGCTCCACAAAAAATAACTTAACTCTATCTCAAAAAGATAGAGGATATAATTAGATCTATAATTCAAGCTGGAGAAAAGAAATCAGAAGCGCAGGGCGAAACCCAAATAAGATGATTTCTAGATCCATAGCATCTGTTTTATCTAATTTTCATAAATCTCCACAATTTCATTCTAACTCACACCAAAATAAGAATAAGTATAAAAGAAGTAAGGTTAAATATCCCACTATAGATTCAGATTCCAATACCAACCGAAAACACTGAAGAGAGGAGCAATCATTTAACTGCATAATATCTAAACGTTAAACATTTTTCTGGCTAAGATATCGCGCATCGAGTATTGAGATCACGATCAACTCGTAGGGTGACTCTGTCTGATAATTCGTAATATGTAGCACATTTCTTATTACCCGTGATCGAAGCATGTATTTGAAATAACGTGGATGTAGAGTCGATCATGAGGTCAACATGGTACCAGTTAATCATGCACGGGCTAATAACAGTAGAATGTTTAATTGATCGAAAACGCAATGCTGACAAATATATAGTATAACCACCGATAAAGTTTAACAATACATTTGTGCTGAAAATCCATTGCTTTATTTTGGAGTTTAATAAGGCTATATACGTTTTATTTTTAGTTTAATGACTCATCAAACATTCTACAAATGTAGATATCTTTACAATGTAATTCATATTGTTTCTGGAAAATTCTAGTCTTTGCATGTAACAAATACTAATCTATAATAATGATCGATGATTTCCCCTGAAAGATAAAATTTTTTTGTTATCCGAAAATTTAAAATTAATAAACCCATCGAATTCATCAAAGAACATATTTTAATCGGAATAAAGTATTTTAAATGCCCGCGCGTTCTCAGCTTCTTTGTTTTTCTTCCTCGTGACGATGTTCCCGAACACGTTCCTCTGTATATAGGAATCGCTACCACATGTTTCTTTTTGTACAAAAGTTTACTGATTTCATCAGTAAAATCAAAGTTGAAATCAATAATAAACTTACCACAAAAATTAATTCTCGCGATTTTGCAAAGAGTCAACCTCATTGAATCAGATCAACAAAAGCAACGTGTAATCTCTTCTATCCCAGGCTCTTCATCTGGAAATTCTTCTGGTAAGAATGGTGTATTAGTTGAATTTTTCTCAGTGAGAGCGTGTTAACATATTTTTTGATTGCAGGTTCGAGCCAATTGACATTTACAGATATTAGCTTAACCGTGTGGACCCAATTTAAGCAGATTTTTGATCATATCAAGACCGGGATTGCATTTACTTTAGAAGAGATGTGTCTCCAAGTAGTAATGGCTATTCACAGACTTGTGGAAATAATAAGAAGACAACTGTACAAGGGTTTTATGAAAGAAATATTAAAGAGAAAGATGGCTACATTAGTACATTAGACCAGGTTGGTTTATGGATAGATAATAAAAACAATGATAATAACTTAGTAATACGGAATAGGAACTGCCATTTCTTTACAAGCTTTCTTTGGAAAGCGCCTCTTCGAGGCATGTGAAGGGGCTTATTCCTCCCTCTTTGCCCTCTACTCCGCGAATATTTCTACAAAGTCGGCTTTTACAATGTAGTATTATGTTAAAAATGATTATTATTATTAATAAAGTTGTAGGCAGTACCCTTCTTCTAAAGTAAGATGTATTCCGTAAGTGCAAATGTTCGGAGTATGTTAAATATTTTACAAGACTACGTGTCCCGCTTATTAGGATATTGCATCCAACGTTCCACCTGGCCAGGTGTATTAGTCCTACAAGAAGGACAACGTCCATACACCTCCTTTATTAGGATAAACATGATCTCGCATGTCATCCAGCGTTCGTCTTTAATGAACCAATTAACTTAGATTCAGACTATTAGCCCTACATTAGAGGAGTATGGTGTCTTTGTTAGAAAGCATCATCTCATTTCCAAAATCAAAATAAGTTTGCTTTCACGTGAGCATACGCCAATCATATCACGTAATCACAACGCGACACTTTTTAACGCGTTCGTTTCAAAATTGGTGATAAAAGATACGTCCTTTAATTCTCCCCGAGAAATTCGTAATGAAGAAAAGCCCAAGGAAAGACTCAAAACTTCTTTCCCGAACCCTTGTAAGTTTCAAAAGTATAGTTTGTGCACAAATAATGAAAATTGACTCATCAATGCATTCAGAAAAATATCGAGGTAAGAAGGGAAATTGCGGTCAAAAAATTACAGACGGATGCCTTAGTCATCTCTTCCGAAGAATACATTGAACGCTCACAAGAAGCTCGTTCCATTATTGCACGTGGTCTCTCATCAAATGAAGACAGTCAAGCTTTCCAGATTGATAAGCCCGACGATGTCATTCTAGCCACTAGAAAAAAGAGAAGGGTAAGTCATGATTACTACTGATGAGATCAGTTAATAATGAGAACACTCGAAAAAATGGAATTTTAGACCATGGAAATTATGAGACTTGGATTGTAATTAATTATATTCATATGTTATAATTAAATACAGGTGAATGGAAATGTATCCAAAAATGATCAAACCCATTTGGAAGATGACTCCGTTTCTCATGAAAGCACGCCAAGTTTAGTAGGTGACGAGCTCACTATTGTTAGCACAAATATATGTAAATATTCATATATGTCCTTTGTAAAATAAATTTATTATTAATTAATTAAAGATCAAAAGGATGAATGTAATATATTACCCACTCAGAAAGAACCGCCACCAGAGATTGTTGATTATTATGAATTAGCTAACAAAAGCACTGTGCAAGATGGTAAGAAGTCACTTTTTTTTTTATTATCTTATGTTCAGGTAATATCATCTAAACTTGACTATTCTTGAAATTATTATTTATTGTACAGACGGATTTCGAACCCCTCCTCATCAAATTGTCAGTAACACATACAACCCAGAAATATCAATTAACGAAAATATACTAAGAATGTCTGCTATGAATTTGGCCAAGCTGGACGAATCCAAGGTATTTATTTGAAACTAATTTTTGAAGCATATAAAAATACTCAATGGTTTGCATTAAATAGTACTTCGGGGAATTTATTCCGTATTTTATAAAATATAAGAACTCCCAGAAAAATAATCCATTTTCGTAAGTAGTTGAATTGCCTAGGATATATTTTATAATTTACAACTAATACCTTCTTAATGTATAGATTCACAATTGATGATGTAATGGATATTAGAGGAAACAGCGGGTTTGCTAAATTTTTGTCAGTTGATGATTATATAGAATTACTATCAAAAAAACCAAAGAGGAGAGTTGAATTACCAGAAGGTTGGCGTAATGTTATTGAAGAATATTATAAGGTATTATATGTTATCGTTTTATTCGTCATTTACAGTAATTATTGATTCTATTATTTTATAGGAAACAACTGAAAGTGGGTCGGTAAAAAGTATATCTGATTGGATTCGTATTACAGAAGAACTGGGAGTTGTAAAAGAGGAAGATAACAGAGAACTAATAAAACTAAAAAAATATTTGAATCGAGTTATGCTTCCATTGTAAGTGCTTTATGAAGTTTATTGTTATTAATCACTCATTGTTCCTAACATCTTATCTTGCAGGATTGAATCATTCTCAAAACAAGTCCCAGATATCAGTGCCCCAGACAGTAGTGAGCATCATTATTGGTCAGAATTTGGACATCATTTTTTCTCAAGGGCATTACAAGAATTTGTAGATCTTGATTGGCGGGCGTAAGCATTAAGTTTAATCAAGATATCATAACATTGTTTTTAAAATTATGTTATGTTGAATTTACTTTGATTTTAGCATGGAAGCTCCTGTACAGGCCTCGAAATATAGAAAAAATTATGGAAATAATCATATCATTGACACAGTGGTTGATGGAAAATATGCGGACCTGTTGGCGCGGATGTGGAAAACTGGTGAAGAAATTTTCGTCGGAGAACAAGCCGGACCTCCCACTCGATGTGATCTAACAAAATTAGCAACCGACTCTTTTAAATTGTATAGAGAAATGAGAGATTGTTTAAATGTTAGAATTTTACGGGCCATGGGAAAGGGTGATGTGAATTACAATAATCGATCTGTTTTCGGAATATTGGGTTTTCTTTTTGAAATCAAAATGTTCATAATGTGGAAAGATGGAGCATACATATATGAAGAATATGGAAGTTTAAACATTGCTTCTAACCTAGGTCAAATTTCTGAGATGAAATCAGGTATATTAAGGCTATTGGAATTTATGGTAAGTTGCATTTTATAATTTTATAAATATTTTAATTGAACTATTCTAAATTAGTTCCGTTATAGATGATCATTAAAACCGAAACGAAAAATAACGTGGAAACTGAGTATAATGCTGATGCTATACAGATTTTGAAAAGAAAATTTGATGAAATTATTCAAACAAAGCCATCGCCTTCAAAAATTACGAAGAGATAAATAAGTTGGAGTTTTTTCGTATTTTATAACATATAAGACGTGTTATAAATGGTGTCATTTACCTTTTAGAAAAAAATATTATTGTAACTTACTGTTGAATAAATAAAAAACCAAGCTATATTAGCGAAAATACGCAATTCTTTATAAAAATAATTTTGTTCCTCACGATCCCAATGCTTCAATATTTTTATAACTTTCGACGACGTGCCATAGCCGAAATTTTTATTACATTAGTAACGCATTTAAATAAACAATTAAGTATATACAATCTATTACTAAAACATGCAATCCGAGATTGATTCATTGAGACAACGAATTTCTGAGCTTGAAACCAATAATGCCGGGCATTTAAAACAGGTTATGGAAGAGAGTACCAAACGCGAAGCTGAAAATGCTGAGCTCAAAGCTAGGATCGCCAAATTGGAACAGATTGCAGAAGAAAATACTGAGCTTAAAGATAGAATCACGAAATTGGAACAGAAATAGACGCAGACCATTACTAATAAACAGAAGCCATCTACTACCCCTAATCTCTTGCCTAAAATAGAATATAGCTCAACCCAACCTGAATCTTCAACGGAGTCTGAAATTACGATTTAGCTGAGATCCTTGATTTTGTAGAAACGATAAACAAGGAAAGGATTAATAGTGAGATAAGAGAGAGGAACCGGGAAAAAAAACTTCAAAACCACATAATAATTTAACTCTACCGATACAATCTGAAACATCAACCATGTCGGCACTTGAATCTCTAGACTCGAAAACTGTGAAAGGGCTTTGGGATCGGAATCAGCGGAGCTGGCACGACCAAATAAAAGCTCGGACAAAGCATCCCAATCGCATAAAAAAAAGGGAACAGAGAATATCGTTCAAGTGATAGTTGATGGCATGTTATTCCAGAGACTCGAAGCTTTGCTTCCTCAAATCATGTGACTGAATTGCCCTTCTTCCATAATAAGCAACTAATGCTGAATATTACGCTACAAGAAATCTTACGCTGGATTAATTATGGGAAGAATTCATAATTCAGTATAATTATCTAAAAATAGTAATGGAAAATTGGCGAGAAAAAAGCTAAAGGCATAATTTATGATACAATATTGAAGCACCTTAATATCATCGTGAAAGAAGATCCAAGAAAATGTGATTACAACTCCCAGAAATTTCACATCAAATTTTATGTAGAAAGACTCTAAGGACTATAAAGACTTAAATTATTTGAAAAAAATAGAAATATTTCAGAATTGACCAAAGATTAAATTCTGATCGTGATGAGTTCATTATAAAGGAATAATCAAATAAAATCACATGACTGAATTTTAAAGACAGCCCTCGTCAAAATCATACAACCGAAATTGTAAGTATTTTACCAAAAACTGAGGTAAGTGAATTTCCTGAGGTATCACTGGAAAAATCATCAGAAGCGATTTCAGAGGCATCAACCGAGGTAAGTGTATCATCTAATCCGGTCAATGACCATACTTACTTTCGTAATAAGATATTGTGGAGGTATTCTGTTCTATAAACATTTATTACTGAAAATTTTGATCATTATGTCCAGTATGTAAAGTGTAAAAGGTAGATACTGTTGGTGTGGATATCGTGAGCCAGTCGCTTGGGTAAGGCCAAACTCACGTACGCCAAGGTAAGTTTCTAATTTTCTCTCTACTTGAGGCATGTAAAATCTTGATTGGTCACTTCCTTAATTAATCATCATTCTTTTTTTCCCGTCGTCACCGCTAGGGTTGGCAATTGGTTTAAGTAAACCATTTAACTGAAGTTTAAACCGAAACAAATATAAGACGACTTAAGTTGGTTAAACTATGGTTTGATTGGTTTAATGCATAATGTATATAATTGTTAAGAAACAATTATCTTTTAA